GGGTCTCGGGCAAATGACCTTTCGGTGACAATCGAGAGGTAAGGTATCGTACGGGTCACCGGAGACATTTAGCACGGAGTTATTTTCTTGCGGTATGATGCACATCGCTGGCTCACTGTAGCAGACACGGTGAAAAACCCTTCGATACCCGGTTGCATGCCGGTGAAAATTTTCACATTCTTGGCACAAAATAACCCTCCGAGCGGTCAACAAAGGCGACTCAGCTGGACGCCGTACGTTGTCCGTATGGTCTTATGATGCCCATATTGACACCGTCAATTCCCCGGCGGTTAAGAACACTTTCGTTGTGGTTGATCATGAACTTGTTTCTATGGTCATTCGCACTGTACCTCTGCACCGCATGTACAGAAGTTATCAGTTCCTTGCAAAAGTGAAGGCGGCTAGTACTGGTTAACTGATGGACAACCTGCCTAAGAACGAAGGGAGAAGACATGCCATACAAATACCCATAGCCGATAGGATATCGCACGGTTTTTGCCCGCATACCTTACTGTAACTGTACGATGGCGCAAACTGGCCGGATAACGGACAACAATTGTATATTTATAGTCCGGTAGTCGGTAAATTATCTTTAGAATATCGAACGGTGTCCAAAAAAAAATGCCAAAGTTTTTCACCATGTGACCGGGCGAATACCCTTCGGAAACCATCCGAATACAACAGAGGGTAAATGACGACGAAAGGATTAAAATATTTCTGTCCGATCTTAAATTATTAACAGTGTCACATCGATCCCTGTATCTCGACCGGTCCCCGCTTGTAATGTGACGCAGGCTTTAACGAACACATTTTTACATATTGTATCATTGAATTCTGTCTACCTGAGTCATCTTTTCTATGACCCAAAATATCTTCCGAACATACAATGGCTATTGAAATATATATATATATTTAAGACCTCTATAATTTGAATACAATTCTTAAGATTCTATTCAAAACCAAATATTATAAATTGTGCTATTAAACATTAAATAAAATAGAAAAAAACAAACAGTCCTGTTATTCACTAGCAATTATTATGGTATAGAATTACTTTCACCATCATTGTGATTAGCCAAGACTACAAAAAACTATCACGTTAAAGCACACTTGACAGCATTGCAGCGTTCTGCAATTTTCATGACACCAACGGAGAACCTGTTGTGAAAGTTTGCATACAAATTACTTTAATAGTAAATTAAACTTGATGATATTTCATTTCTTAAAACAAGGTCTGAGGTTTGTGATCAATCTTAAATTGAAATGTCGAAATGTTGAGATTTCACAAATGCATGTATTAGCCTATTGTGTATGTGCTGAATTAAATGTGAAAAGACATGAGGTGAACTGTTATATATTTTGATAATTAATGAAAAAGGTCCTAATGCGTTAAAATGAATGATATATTATGCGCATGTTGATTCTACAACAATAATCATACTTGAAACCATTCCAATTAAATTTATCATTCAAGAAATGCAATGAGTGAAAAGCGAAAAGTTACATATCATAATCAGTCAGGATGATCTTGATGCAAAAGAAAAATCAGTTGTTACTACAATGAGATTAGGTGGTCAATACAGAGAAACAAATGGCCAATATAGATATAAGGTGCTTGTCGATGTTGATAAGGATGAGCCTTTCACAGTTAACAAATATTTATAAAATAGACAATGGGGATTTTAATTTTCCAGAACGTGAAAATGTCTTAAAAACAAATTTATGTATTTACAGACATTTCCTGAAAAACTATATCAAACAATTAGATTCTCGTGTACAACTTGTAACAAATGGTTATATATGAAAAACACGCGATTTCTTTATTAGAAATGTTTGTATAGAATATTTTACATTGTATTGCTTGTTTTTGAGCCTTCTAGCAATAAACCTTGTTACATTTGTATTTTGGTTGACATAAGGAGACATATAGTCGCGGATGTAATATTGATATTGTAGTGTTATTAAATTCAAGTAGAAATTTATACTTTATATCTATAGCTCATTTGTCTGAATTATTATGAATTTCTGGCCTGCAGAAGTAACTTCTTTAATTCCAGAGAATTCTGATTTCAAGAGACATACAATTTTTATCGTTTCATGAAACAATTGAAGGCCCTTACCATGCTTTACATTTTGCTAAGCTAAAAATTGCTTTATTCATGCATGAATATTTATGACATACTGGCTATAAAAGCTATAAAAGTCCACTCAAAAGTAATGTATGACAGTGTTTTGTCAGGAACGAATTATAAAACTATAAGGTATATATAAATGTTTATATATCTATTGCACCCGTGGCTTCATTGATTTTTTAAAAACAAAGGTGTGTTTTGAGAAATGAAAACATATCATGCTGTAAGATTCAATTAGGCAACATCTGTCAAAAGGAAAAAATATAACCAATTTAAAGAACTCTTGATGTCTTTCGCCATTAATAACAAAACAACACTAATTTTAACTAATTAGTATCTGTTTATAGAAAACAAATATTATGTTTCTGCTTAGGGTTTTTATGTTCTGAAAAAGAAATTCAAATTCGTTTTCAGACACGCACAATTATTATGAGAGCTATTTGCAATGATATACGTCATTTCATAATCAGATGTTTGATTTATTATTTTGCCATACACAAAACATTAAATTACTCATTAGAGATATTACCTGTATTTTTAAACAATTGTAAGCAAAAGCGTAATTATTTTGGGCTCTTTTTATTATTCAAACAGATAGATAATACCTAAAAACTTCTTTAGACAATGAATATTACTTTTGCATGTTATATCGTTTGTGCTTTATGTGATTGATGCAGGGAGTAACAATAGAACCAAGTTCCTTGAAGTTATGACAGAATCCACAAAATGCGGATCATGAGCACAAATGGTATCTATGTGACAAGACCGGAAATTTATTATAGAGACAATTTCTGCTTTGTACTCATGTTATTAAATTTATTTGTCTTCGGGTTTTATGGTACATATGACAGCACATCAATCTGAATTATTTCAAGGTTTAATATCTTTAATCGGAATTTCTTATAATGTTTCATCTATAATACCTATAGCCTAATGTGATATTGCCAAGAAAGATCCTTACACGCTATCTGTATTGAATGACAGAAAGTAATCTTTTAACTGTACGCTTATAACGAATTGAAACTGCTGTTTAAGTATTTTATAAATTTACAAATTATAGATTGACAGATTGAGTGTGTCATGAATACTGAGGTTTTATGCTTACTCGTTTGACATTTAAATTGATACAATTTGATTTGATGTCATAAATTTGAAACAAAAAGTAAATATATTAAACTTGAAAATGAGTGACGCGAAAAGAACATAAAGGAGGATAATTATATCAAAAAATTACTCATCATAAATTGTATAACTACGAAGGGTGTTCAGATATGAATGCAACTGGGTCAATTTTCAGAAATGCTTAACAAACAGTGTCAAAATATTTATCACAATCCCCCAAAATACTCACCACCATGTGATAAACAAAATTTTAATCTTTTAATCCAATTTTAAAATGCGTTTTCATAAACCTTTCGAGGTCTTTAAATTATGAAGGACCTTGCCTTTGGAAAACTTGGCAATTTGAATAGCCGGACCTTGATTAGTAAAGAAAAGTACATACATGACCTTTTTGATGCTCATGGTGCGTTTTGCTATGCAAGGTCTTTGACTTCTTTTGGTCGCCCATATTTTGTTATGTATCTTTCGCTTGGGCTTAAAAAATTGATTCCATGTCTCATCACCAGTAATTATATTTGCGAAAGATCGATTGTTGTATTTAGGAATCTGTTTCAACAATTGTTTAGAGAGTGTTTTATCCGAGCAAGGTTTTGCCTGTTTTGTAAGGAGATGGGGTTTCCATCTGGCACTTATGGCTACAAAAAAGTAATGTGACAGCATTGATGAAAAGATGTAAATATTGAAGACAATTTCGGATGAGCCACTCAACTCAACACAGTGAAAATAACATAATATACAATGTAAAATTTTATGACTATTGAAAATTCATGTTGTGAAAATTTAGTGATGTTTTCATAAAACAAAAGTGTAATTATGTTAAAATTATTTGTGTGCATTCATTATTTTTATTTGCTATTTACTTAATTTTGTGTGCATGTTGGTCAATAAAAAAAATTGATGTAATTTACGATTGAACTCTTGTACATTTTTTATATATTACATTGCTTATAATATGTAGTATGTTTGTATTACAGATACAAGGATAAATCTCACTGTAGATCTACTGATGGGAGAAAAATGTTGGAATGCATAATCACTTTAATGTGTTGCGTTACCAATATAACAAAGTGTAGAGAAATAAAACATTAGCAGAAACAATGCAATTTTATATTCCTTGATCATTATGTTAGCTCTATCTATTATTTGAACAATTTTATTTTAACTAATTGCATTTCGATGATAATATATCAAACAAAATTTTATTTAATCTACTGAAAAATCAATGAGCAATGATAGAAAAGTTCTTTACAAAATGCATCACTGCCATTCTTTACATTTAAATCAGCACACATTAATTATTATGTATTTATAACTAGGGACAAAATATCATGGGAGATAACTCGTATAGCAGTATTTTAGTACATTTAATTAAAAAAAACAAATAATCAAACAAACAAAAAAGCAATAACGCGTTCTTTTAATACTAATCATAAATAATATAATAAATCAAATAATTACATTCAGCATATCTTATTATACGTATATATCATATTAACATTATTATTTTATTTCACTGACCAAATTTCAAAATACAATGCTTCCCCATTTATGTAAATTGAGATTTAAAAAAAAAACAATACAAAAAACTGTGACGGTATCATGTACACTGTACTTGTCTTTGTAGTTTAAACCGCATACAGTACAGTAAACAATATTTGAAGATTGAGACAAAAGAATATTGATCACCATCTGTGATTTGGAATTAAACCATTTATAATACAATAGATGTCAGTTAAATTGCGACTCTATATTTCATGCATAATACCTTCAAAATAGTTTATACTTTAATTTACGGCAAAGTAACGATTTTTGTATCCTGAAGAAGGAAATTACTTCGTTAATAATTGAATTCTCCGTGGATGTTATTAAATAAGGTGGAAGTTTGGATTAATCGGTGTAATTAGATTATTCTTTCCGTGAATACAATAAGTTTTAATTGAATTTTCTTTTGTTATTTGTGCTTTTTGCTGTTGGCTCACGTGCAATTAAAGACAAGTAAAGTAATTTTTGATTTGCGTATCAAAAAAATAAGAAAATAATACATAGATAAAAGTGTTGTTCTGTTTCACTTAAATAAATGAGAAAATAATGGATTAATGGTTTAATCGTTCAAAATATGACATTGAATCCGGACGACGAGAGGCGGCTCCGCCGGAACTGGAGTTTGTTGAAACAGGAACTACGTGTGGATGATTTCGTTCACAAGTTTGTTGAGAATGGAGTCTTTGCGCCCACACTGATAGGCGAAATAGCAAATGTTATGCCTAATACGCCGAGCATGAAAGGTAAAGTCCGGTTAATTAAAAAAAAAGAAACATTTCATTACAAAAGACCTGTGGCGACATTTCAACTTCATGAATTCACGATTTCATCTCCGTGAATTCACAATTTCATCTACGTGAAATCATGATTTCAATGTCATGTAGTCACGATTGCGACTTCACGAACTAACTTCATAAATTCACGATTTCAACTTTATGAATTCAGGATTTCAAATTCACAAAGTTAAATTCGTGAAGTTGAAATCGTGAATTCATGAAGTTGAAATCCTGAATTCGTAAAGTTGAACCCGTGAATTCGAGAAGTTGACATCGTGAATTGACGAAATTGAATTTAAGTTGAAATCGTGAATTCAGTAAGTTAAAATTGTGAATTCACAAAGATGAAATCTGAAATTCATGAAGTTGAAATGTCCCTTCCGGTCTTTCCGGTACTTTATTGTACGCCTTCTTCACCATGTGTATCCGTAACGCAGAAATGAGAAAATGTGAAAATCTAAACGCGTTATAATAATTCTGAAATAACAGACATTTGTTTGGGCCAGTTTAGTCTTTTTATGTGGAAACGCCGAATTCTGAAGCAGCACTTGTAACTTCATAAAGACGGCATAAATCATATTGTATCTGCTTCCTTAAAGTGTTATATAACGCCAGCAAATGTATCAGGTATATACCAAATATTAAAAAAAAGATCAAGTTTTGTATACGATATTGTACTAATTATACTAATTAAAAAATAGGACGAAGCGGACCAGTCGCCTTCAGAACTTTTTCACTGTACATGTATGGCACGAAAAAGTTTATCCAGTTTTGTTGTTCTGTTCATTATTTTTTTAACTTAAAATCAACCATTTTATAGGATACGATGTATTGTATTTGTTCCGCTATGAAATCATGCAATGTAATTGTGATGTATCGTGTTCAATTATATTCCAGCTGAGAAATTCTTGAACTGTGTCATAACTTGCGGGAATCTCGGTTACCAGACGTTATGCCAGTTGATTCGTAATAACGCAGATAATCGATATAGCCGGGTAATGGAAGCCTTACAGATTTACCCGGCGGTACATCATCCTGGCAACCAGGTTAATGCCAGTACAGCGGCCAACAATAGTGCTGTAAGAAACGTCGAAGTTGCCCGTAAGTAGATCGGTTTATGGTTTTATGTTGCCCGTTAAAATGATTCTTTTCAATCGTAAATTAAATCACTACTGCTGTGGATTAAGAAAAGACCAATTCAAAACATTGTTCGAGCGACTGACATTCCGTTAACTAACTTAAAAGCTTCGTTCACATCAAATTACTCAATGTGAATGAGGTTAACTGGGTTTGGACATTTTTAAAGGAAAATTGTTGTGATATCGTATACATTAATATAAGTCTCTGGTTACTGTATTTTAGTCATGTCCTGACTTTATATAAGAAATTGCATGCTCGTGCAATTAAGTTATTGCTATGATATTGTATCGACATAAATTTAAAAGTTGGGTGACAAGATGAAAGGCTTCACAGAGCATACAAGCTTTACGAGCTTAAAACATTTTCTTCTTTTTTCATGAATGAAGTTATATTCTAACAATATCATTTTAGACATATATTGTGTTTTATCATTTGTGTTATCTTTAAATACAAGTCACTCCTATAGTTAGGCTGTAAGAAAAAACAAAAATGCTCTTAAGTGGGCAAATGGAACTTGAATATACTTAGGGCTTACTCCCTTTATGCCCTGCGTGTAACTGCGTGTACTGTCCGCTTCAGGCTTTAGAATTGTCTCCCATTTTCAAACATTAAGAACTGACCACCTAACATTTTAAAACAGTGCTGAATCACTTGTGATGGACTTGTCAAGCTTCCATTTTGATGGAAATATCAAATAACAATGTTGGGGTTATTTGTATGCAAAATTAAAAGATGCTTAGTCATGGCATCAGGCTGGCCTGGCTTCATTTATACTAACCGCAACGGATAATCGTGGTAAGGGGCAATAAGATAAAATCAAAATTCAATTTTGATTTAACATTTTGTCTGTGTCTTGAAATTCATGTATGATTTATATTCATCAGTTTGACAGTTTCACATACGATTTTCTATTACAATTTTCAGATCAAGACTCTAGACCGTCAACAGCTGTTTCCTCCACGGTGAGTTTAGTATTTCAAGTTAACTTTTTTTAATAAAGTGCAAAACAATTTATTTTGCAATTCTTTATTATAGCGCATTGTTCAGGTATACCATCGCTTTATTTGTCCGTGTTATTCATAATTCTACTCGGGCACCGCCAAGCCGGTGCTAGGGGGCGTGGACGGTAATTTGCACTTGACAGTACCGTCCACGAACAGGCTCAATCAATCCGAGCCTGCAGCATTTTCAATTTTGCCGTATTAGGATTTCTTTAGGGATTTTTATTTTCTCTATTTTGTTTACATGATTGCCAAATGTAAGCATTAAGTGGAATAAAATCTGACGTAATTAACATGGAATAAAGTCTGAGGTAATTAACATGTTTGTCCGATATAATTTATGCACATTTTCTAGAACATTATTATTTTAATATTTGCTGTGTGTGTTCTACAAGAAAGTACCCCTTTGGGCCACCGGTATATGTCAAGATATTAAAAAACTTTAATGTTGTCATAAGACATTTAGAAACAATTAAAATTGATATCTACATATTGATCAGGCATTTTCAAATACTATCACACAAATTGCAGGTTTACATTTAACAGTCCTTTAAAAAAAGTACAAATAACAGTACTATGATACAAACTACTAAATGAAGGATAGGTCTAGTGAAACTTGAAAAATTGAAAAAAAACTCGGTTCTAACAAAGATATATGTTAACCCTCCCTGCAAACATCATAAAACACATCATTTATTTTTATTAGACTATCTTATTCTAAATCAGGAATTGGCAACATTACTTATCATTTCAGCACTTCTTTAGTGCAATGTTCCCTTATTAAGTTGGACTTTGATTAAATAATTTTATTGCCATCCTTAGTCACTCTGTTCTTCAACCTATTGGTAAATAGTTATATAAGCTAGCGTACCCAGGGGCTAAATATTTTATATTTAACAATGATACACAAAATATGAGAAATTTCAACAACGGAGAGCACTGTTCAATGAACATAGTCCCGAAATGACCTAGCCGCACAGGATCAACGGTAAGGCCCTCAGTTGGGCACCGAACAAATCACATTTTGAGTATGTCATTTGACTGTTGCAGTCTATCATTCACATGTTCAACAATTGTAACTTAGTATTTTTTCACATGAAGTCGCATTATCGTTTACAAAAGCGTTTCGAAAAATAGCTAATACGTGGAGTCTCTTCCATAACCGCTGATACAATGTAGCAAAACTTTGCATTCACTCCAGAAGAAATTAGGATCACTTAATAATTAATCATGTATGTTAAATTTATCCTAGCATCATTCAGTAAATTTTCTCCGTTGCCATGGATGCGATCGATTGTAATTATCCTTGAATTTCCGAGCACTTAAAACAAGATTAACTACATCGAGCAATTCTTCATTGACTTATACATCATTTCGTCTAATGCACGTTTTATTTTTTTATTTGTAACATTTTAATTGAAAAACGTAAACTTGCTTTTCAGTAGACTCGATTTCAGTACAATTGAAATAGAATACAAATTATATATTTTCATACAATCACCTAGAAGTGATGGCTTTCAAAATACAGACGGATTTGAGTCGGTATCGGAAATTTCTCAAAGTATCAAACTGTGTAGTGCGAAAAGAAATGACTGGCTTAAATGATCTATTAAGATCTATTTCTATCCATAATTTGATAATGAACACTATATGGTAATCAAAAATCCATTTTAAGGAGATAATATACATTTTTAGATTCTGGTTTAATAGTTTATCTAATACGATAATGGTATACATTACCACGATATACAACATTTAGCACTATTTTCAACAATTATTGCTATTATTTGAAACATTCCCCTCTTTCATACTCCAAAAAAGGTTAATTTACTGTAAAGATCTATTTATATGAATGTATTTTGATGATAAAGGGATATTTTTGTCATTGTTGTTTTCAAATGAAATATAATGTTTGTTGTTGCCCTAAATATATTCAACCGAGACCATTCACAGTGTCATAATCTTTTTTATCAGTTTTGTAACTTGATAGTTAGAAGAAATTTTTTTAATATAATTGATATAATATAATATAATTTCTGCAATCTTTGGAACTTTCAATTAAAGTTATTCAAATGTTTAGTCATGTACATGAGTTTGCATTATTCCTACTGATTTTTGAAATTCGACATTCAAAATCACGAAGTATTATTTCAGTTGGTTTTTTGGTGACAGTTAATGAACAATAATGAAATTAGAAATATTGTCCAATCTACCTCTTAACTCAAGACATGTATTTGTTGTGTTGTTTACTGTATGTTAATGTGGCCATATTGTAAAAGAGAAGATTAGAAGTTATTTGCAAATATGTGTGCATAAAGATTCAATATGATCTTGAATTTCATGCTTTCTCTGCAAGTTTGGTAAAACATCAAAATAAACGGACTTGAAATTTTGAAGACAAAAACAAGAATAAAAATTAATTTCTACCTTGCCATTGTAAAAGCCATTTATATATTATGGATGATATCTAAGACTTCTGCAAAAAACGCACCAAATTATCTCTATACTCTATTTTGTAAATAAGTTACGGTTTATATATCTGGAAAGCCTTATAAATATTTCAGCACAGCTTGGGGCACTAGTTGATAATTTGCATCTCCAGTGTTGCATCTTTAAACTGGCTTCGTTTCATGCGCCAAGGGGCAATTTGTCTCCATTAATATACGTTCACATAAAAAGAATATACACACTTTCATATCTGTAGATGTTTGCTTTTAGCAAAATTGTTTTCGATTGTTGGGAAACGTTTCTAAATCCTGTAGCATCGTGATAAGTACATTTGAAATAATTTAAAATCGAAAAGCTTTCCGAGAATTACACAGGGGAAAAGTTGAAAGGGTCTTTGTATTTTCTGACTCATCAACGTTAATCAACATTGATTGACTTTTGCAGTGGTTTTCCATTTTTCTCACAACTCAAATCATAGAAATACTACTGATATTATTTTGATATTGGTGGTGTGCTTTGAAATACATAAAAGTAGGTATATTCAGGTTATGATGTTGAAATTTCTGTTCCAATTAATTTGTCAGAAATCTTGGTTTAGATACAGAAGAACACAAAGATGCTGAAATAAAATGTTGTAAAGTTTAGCAACATTGGCATGTTGCTTAATTTTGACCAATTATTTAATACTTTTTATATTCATATGTTTTTCTAGAGCAGTGGAACAGTAAACAGTGAGACTGGGGAAAAACATCGAAGAATCCGCAACATCCCGACTGACAACAATCAATCCAACATTGCTGCTGCACCTGTAGCAACAGTGGCACCAACTGTCAATGTTTTTCAAGCAGGGAGGCGAACAAGCACGGGAGAAGACTCAGAAAATGGTGGACCAAGACTTTTGTATGCGGAGTCTACACTTGCTTCACAGAGCGACATATCCCTGCAGTCTTTCAGCTCCACTTCGACTGACAATCAGACACCCATAAATAAGAATTTACTCACAGCTCAGGTAAACAAACCTGGAACTACAACGCCTAAAAGTATAGCATCAGATGGCCAACAGCAAAGCAAGAACGTATTAAATCAAGCAGTAGACAAATCCAGGAGTGATACACCATTGGATATGCAAGTTCTTGAACAAGAACTTGTCAGGATGGCGCCGGCTATTGCAGATCTTTTTAAGAAAATTGCTAAGCAAACAAGCAGCGTTCCCACTTCTGAAGAGGAATTGCAAAAGGTTAAAGATGAAAACGAACGATTACGGAAAACGAACAAGTCACTGATAGAGAAACTGAATTCATTCCAACAAAAGATCATTCAACTTCAACTTGATAATAAGAAACTGAAAGAAAATGGTGATACCACCCGTGCCAAGAAAGAAGAGCTGACCGTGAAAGCAAGTGAACTTCAGGACATGGAACGTAGACTTGATGAGCACAAAAAGGCACTTGAAGAAAAGGAGACAGAACTGAACACTCAGTTGCTGAAGCTTAAAGAAATCGAAGAAGAAAATGAAATGCAAAGAGAGAAGATTGACAAACTCGAAGAACTCCAAGATGAAGGTACTTTTTCACAATAAATTTGCTACTTTATGAAATGATCTGTGCTTTTGTGAAATTAAATTTTGTATTTCGAATTTCCTGTTTGTTTATGTTTAAAATTTTAAGAAGTGAGGTGAAACTGTCCCTTTAAAAAAGTACTTTTCATTTTCAAGCATTTATTTTCATCTTTTGACGAATAATGTATTTTCTTGACGGCGTAACTTTTAACTTTAAAATGTCATGATTCAATTTTGTTCATTATATTATGTCTCTTAAATTGTTAAAATTTATTGTTATTCGAATTTACTCTAGGAATAGTTGAAAGGAACATACAACAAGAGCAGATTTCAACCTTGGTCGAGGAAAAGGAACGGCAAAAGGATCAAATAGACTCTCTAGAGGAGCAGCAAAAAATGGGGGAACAGCGTCTTCTGAGGCTCGAACAACGGCTCAACCAATTAGAGCAGGGACCAAGGCGTCAAGGCCGCAACAGACGGGTCATGTCGCCTCCAAGAAATAACCACTGGATGAACGGCTACGTTGATCGGTCACATCATGCAAATGTTAAATTCCAGTCTGAAATTAAGTTCAACCTTGACCGTGACGGGAAAAGAACATCATCTCAAGGAAAAGCGGGATGGCCCTTTATCTGATTAATGAACGGTGTGAATTCAGGATCCGTAATTTTTAGGACAGTGTTTTTTATTCGATAAAATAAAATATCTTCGAACGTAAAGAACAAAGCTACTTAAAAGGGTCATTAATCAAAAATGCTTTTAAACATTTATGTCATGAACATTTTCTCTCAAACACTTACATTGATGACTGTTTTATTTCTACATATTTTTTGTGAAGATGTACATACATATGCTTAGAAAACCTTTCAGACTGAAATGATAGTAACCGGAGACATTTGAATTATCGTCAAAATGATGTGATAGCGTTGGACATATTATGTTGTACATTTGTAGTTTTTTGTACTGTGTTTTCTTCAGAAAGTTGTGTCGATACAGCACCTTTACCAATACCATATAACTATTTTCTCTTCTTGTAAACGATTCATTAGTAAAACAATTATTGTTCAATGAACTATTTTGGTATATTGTTTAGAAAACGTGTCGCACAAAGTAAACAGAATATATCACTCATTCAAAACATCCAATAAATAAAAAACTGAAAACAATATCAATGTTTTTCATAAGACTACTATAAGAAACAATGTATATAATTATGCCTGTTTTTTATTTCTATATTTCTATTGATTGTCTATATTTATTATTTGATTTTACGGTCTGTCCTTTAATGTATGTTTTGTTGCTACATGGTTTTTGTATATATAGCTGTACATAGGCATGGCTAGAAAACAGATTTTCTTTTATCATAAAAGCAATCAACTAAACTGAATGAATAGTAGAATGCTTTTTCATGCGTGTAGTGAAGAAATACAAGTTTAGCACACTTGATCATATTTTTAAATTACGCGTCTTCCAGGAGGTTGGACAGTTGATATTTATCTTTTAATATTATGATTTTTATACTAATATGACATAGCATTTAAATTGTTACATACAGTATATTAAAAATCTATGTCAGCAAGTATTGAATTATAAAAAATAATAGAATCGATTTTAATCTTCTACAATTTTATTCATTAGCCGAACTACAATATCACTGTCTGCGTTTACAAAATATAGCTGAATGGTCCATTGTTTTATTGCAATATGATGATCATATCCATTGATAACGACGGGTTTGACCCAATGCCGTGACGAATACTAAAATACCAAGTACGTATGACAATCCTGAAACAAAGGAATAAAAAAAAATATTATACGTATGAGCCGCGTCACGACAAAACAAACATAGTGGGTTTGCGACCAGCATGGATCCAGACCAGCCTGCGCATCCGCACAGTCTGATCAGGATCCATGCTGTTCGCTTACAAATCCTATTACAAGTAGAGAAACTGATAGCGAACAGCATGGATCCTGATCAGCCTTCGCGGATGCGCAGTCTGGTCTGGATCCATGCTGATCGCAAACCCATTATGTTGGTTTTGTCGTGACGCGGCTCAATTATATCAATGTTCTGTCTTTAACATAACATATTAATTAAGATTTATTTATGTAAGTGCACATGTACGTACACTTACAGATGGTATTAAATTGTTTCAATTACATGTAGTTTGTCTTTATCATGTATTCATTAATTGTATTCTACATTAAGTTTAACATGTAACGTTTGAGAATTTAACTTTTCTTGTGCTCAATTTATATAATGATCGTTTTCCTGCTTCTGAATTTGGAACTGTCTTTTTAAACCTTTTCCATGCTGGTAGCAACTTTATCTACCCATGTGACCATTGCAGAACAAGATCAGCCGGAACATTCGTGTACCCTATGATCATGGTCTGCACTGGTTGTTATTCAATCAGATCTGATTTTGAATTTTCCCCTATCAATTAAATATTGTTTTGTCAAGAATGAAAGATGGGCAAGTCCATTTAAGAAATTTAGCAGACTTAGGGTTAATGTGGAGAGATTATGATCATATTAAATTGCTAGAATTAAGCACGAGAGTGGACCTGGCCCAACTCTCGAGGCAAAAACCATTAAGATATTGTCGTCCCTAGTGCAAAGTGTTCATAAGATTTTGTAATAATTTGTGAATAATGTTAAACTCAAACCATTAACAAATATCAAATAAATAAAAAGTTTAAATAATTAATATTACAATGTATATTATTCCTGAAAGTTTTATGCTCTAGCTGTTTAGAGAAATATCGGTATTCTTCAGTCTGTTTTGCGACTTGTTAATTTAAGTCCTCGTTACAATTAAAATAATTACTTAATTATAATTATTTGGTATAAATTATAAAGATGATAGACTGATACGTATTCTTTTACTGAGGCAGCTTATGAATCCACATTTCACTATCATTAAACAACACATTGCAGACTTAACCGCTAAGCGGCTTGCGGCAACTGATTCTACGGGTCATGCAACCAGTGCAGACGACAATCAACAAGAACATCCGGGTCATCTGATCATGATCTACACTGTTCGCTATCCGGTTGTTACTTTAATTTTATTTTGAAAGTATCCCTAAACATCATAAACGGTTTTGCCCAAATTTAAATAAGCGCAAGCCTATTTACGATAATTAACAGAATAATGGCTAAAACATTTTCGTTCGTCAGTAGTACTAAAGACATTTTTCTATAAGTACTTTTAGGACTTTTATGACGCTCTTTATTTCCCACTAACTTTAAATAATATTGCCTACTTAGTTTGCAAACAATGTCAGCCGTCTTACTACAGAAATCTTTAGTTTGAAACCGCAATAAACGAAATTTAAATCACGTTTTGTTTTCTATGTATCTACGAAACATCTTAGAACATGTCCGTGAACAGTGATAACAAACAAATCATTCACACACACATATATATGTAACCTTTGTTTATTACTATTTTCTAAAGAAATTACCAGTTTTCAGTACATATTAATTATCTAGTACAGGTCATAAACTTTCGTTTCATTTTCACGTTAATGTCCTTTCCTGATTAAAATCAATAAAGGAATAATTAAATTGAAAACAAAAATTTTATTATACCCATATTACTTGAAAGATTGAGAGAGAAAAATGTTTTTTAAAAGTAGAATGTTACATTTCATTTCCGTTTCTAATGAACTTCATCTCCTACTTCGCATACATTACAAATTAAACGAAGGTGAAATTATATTGCATTCTACTTCAAAGCCAATATTTATCCAGTATTTTTGTTGATTATCACTTGCAAAGTTGTTACGAAATGTACTGTACAGTGTTATTATGAAGTTATAATTACATCAGCACTATTTCAAAAATTGTGTTTAAAATATGTCTCACCGGAAGTTGCTGCCCCTGTGTTCCTGATTGTGAGGTGACTAACAACAGTAGCTTTGGTTCCAGTCAAATCAGTTGCCGCAATACTCATATCCTGACGACGACGCCTTTTACTACAATCCTAGAGGGAATAAACACAAATGAGCCGCGTCACGACAAAACCAACATAGTGCGTTTGCGACCAGCATGGATCCAGACCAGCCTGCGCATCCGCGCACCATGTTGTTCGCTATCAGTTTCTTTACTTGTTATAGTGTCTGTAAGCGAACACAATGGATCCTGATCAGACCGCGCAGATGCGCAGGCTGGTCTGGATCCATACTGGTCGAAAACCCACTATGTTGGTTTTGTCATGACGCGGCTCAAATACTTTGTTAGTTTTGGTATATTTTAATTTAGAAACACCTAGTCTATCGATCGTTCACATTTTAGCTTGGCAGCTTCCTCACATAAAGAACCCAAAGTTATGGGCGGGATTCAAACCCAAAGCGGTAAATGACACGTAATTTGAAGTCGGAGACAATATCCAGTCAAACATCAACCCCCGATCCCTTGCCTTGAATTTTATTAAAAGATCAAGAATTCATAGATAATCAAAAGGCATTCGTCAAACAAAAAGTGTTGTATAGGGTTCAAGCATCCCACAATTTCAGAATTTTTAGAAATATATGCAAAAACTTGAGAATTAAAAATATTTTATGTAGGGTATGAAAACAATTAGACAAAGATATGAACGAAATTCTGTAGTTATTTTGAGATTTGAAAATAATAATATGTGACAAGCTAAGCGATTTTTGGCCGAAATGTGATATCTGGGCGATATGATTTATAAATAGCTTTAAACAAAGGCACCATAAAGCGGGGCAATATAAGCCCGAATGTAAATGTGTTCGAGTAATCACAAATAATCTTTCAATTAGAGAAGACACCCAATCAAGAAACGTGTGGCCCCCGAGGTTAGGTCAATATCGACCCCTGATGCATAATTTATATTTATTTTTATATATTTCAACACGGCAATGTTGCATGACAAATATTTACACTCTTTCACAAAATAAGAGTAGAAATGTACTGCATTTATTAAGTGACCAACGGGTTGGGCAAATATTAAACCAAGGGGAATGATTAACACCAATATTTGTAGAGATAAACACGCCAATGCTACATGTCAAAGAGCTAAGCTCTATGCATTGTAGTTTGGCAAAATAAGACTTAAATGTGTTTTCCTATACACAACTATATTCCCTAGGTGAACCCCGGGGCGGAGTCAATATTAACCCAAGGGTCATGATTAATACCAGTTACAAGTATTTTAGGGTCCACAAAGTGATGTTACGTGCCAAATATCTAAGCTATGGGTATTTTAGTTTTACACAAGTCTAACATGTGCTTTTTTCCTATAATAGCCAAATAAGTAATCAAGAGACCCCTTGGGCGGGGTCAATTTTGATATCAGGAAGCCCACAGCCGTGTTCTGCACATCGTCACATTAAAAGTCTAATTTCTGCCAAAAAGTTGCTTTCGGTTCAAAAGATGCAGAGCGGAAACGAAATACATGTAGTCTAGTCAATATATTGCAAAAGTTTTAAAAATTTGTTTTTCTGTATGTATGTATATTTATCCATAAAAAGTCCCGAACTTTATAATTTTGAACAAAAATGATTATGTATGCCCCTGACCTTGACCTGAGGAAGGTCAAACCTGCGCTCTGCACATCGTCTCGTTTCTACAAGGTAGTTTCAATTTTCTCCCATCAATTCAAAAGATTTTCTCTCATCAATTCAAAAGATACAGACCGGACATTGCTAACAGACGGACAACCAGGTGGATAATAATTAATATACGCCGATTTTTTTTCGGGTGTATACATATTAAAAGTGTTTACCACAGTACAAGCTGCATCTCCTCTCGTACAGATCTTAACGCTGCACGCGATGGTAAGCTGGTCTGACGTATGAAACTTGAAGGCATATAGGTCACTAACCAAACTTCCCTTTTCTGTAGCTGTCCCACTTGCGGCTACAAAGTTTGTAACCATGTCCAAAACACTGCAACTATCAAAGAAATTTCAAAAATGCTCAGAATTTGTAACTGATTGGTGTAAGTCTAAATGGTTTGGGTGTAAAAAGACGCTAAATATGCCCATCCAATATTCTCGGCAGACAAAACAGAATACACTAGTCTTACTTTATACTAGTGGCACAAGCGAATCCTCACCGCGAATCGCATCAAAAGTGTCAATTCAATCCGTTAAACACTGGAAGTGATAATTCTTTGCTAGTATAGAGCAACGCCAGCTCTTTATTGTTGGTAACCCTCCAATTTTAATAGACTGTTCTAAATTCAAAACAAGGCAAATCCATTATACAAATTCAGCAAGTAAAGGGATAATAATTGTAAAGTACTTTATACGTTACGATGATTTTTAAAGCTTTCATGTACTTGAATATATTCTATGCAAAAATGAGCGGACGCTCTATTCTTAGAACCGGAATGACTATACTTTAGAATAGTTCCAAAGATGTCGTCTGAAATGCAACTATAGTACTTTCCGTGTACAAAGATTAATATTCAGCTATGTCCTACATACGTTTTTGAAACGACTTCGGAATAAATAAAAAATGAATGTAAATATCATATCATAAAATTAAATATAGCTCTGTGTAAATATGTAGACTGTAAAATGTTGAATATAACAAGCGCATATATACGTGCGTGTTTGAAAATGATACAATGATGTTAATACCAAAATTGACATCTTAATTCATTATTTAAATTACTTAAACCTTCATTTCACAGAGTCAACAAATACCCTGCAATCTTCTGAGACTAAATTTATTTGTTAATGGAATATGGGGGATAACTCTTAAATACTACATTATTATATTCAGAAGAGTTACTTACCCTTGCAATATGACGGGCACTACCGGAGGTGTTCCAAGAATTGTCCCCGGGTTTGCCGTGCAGTGGTATGGAAGGAGATCGTATTCATCTAAAAAAGAATAATTTTCTTTATCAACATTGAATATATAAATTAGCATAGGATTGAACAATAAAAACTATCACGTCATATATTTCCTGAAAGTACACCAAACCAGACATGTACAATAAAACAAGTCATATTTTTATATCAAAACAGACAAAACAAAATACCACTTGGGAAATTCACGAAACTGGTGAATGCTTTAGTAAGTAATTTGACTTACATGGTCCTTCTACTTTCCATTTCAATAATTCGCCGACGTTTGCGGTTGAAACAGTTTGCGTTATATTACTATTCCATATCATTGAGATGACGACAAAACTTGGGGTTACAGGAGCCCCAATGTAGCTCTCAGTTTCGTTTGTAGTCTCATTACCAGTAGTTCTTCTGTGAAAAATATATATAAAGCAATGTAAACATCATGTTTTTGCATAGATAAACATTTTTCATGCTTACTTTTTTTAACAATTGAGCCGCGTCATGACAAAACCAACATAATGGGTTTGCGACCAGCATGGATCCAGAAGAGCCTGCGCATCCGCGCGGTCTGATCAGGAACCATGCTGTTCGCTTACAAACTCTATAACAAGTAGAGAAACTGATAGCGAACAGCATGGATCCTGATCAGACTGCGCGGATGCGCAGGCTGATCTGGATTCATGCTGGTGTGACGCGGCTCAATTATTTATTTGGTGACTTATCCTCCTTTGAACTTTAAAGACAAAACACAAAACTTGACCAACCAATATTTTATAGTACATGGTCCAACTGTGTGACTTTATTGTTTTGAAAAGGCTATAATCACGTTTAGGTTAAAGGCTTAAACAAAACAAGAGCTGTCAGAAGGACAGCGCGCTCGACTTTTTTAGTGCTTGCCTATAAAACAAAACTTTGACAGTTAAGGGCACACAAGACTTTAACTAGGAATTTCTAAGTACAAATCAAGAAACATTTTCACAGAAACATCTTCTCTTGCTTACAGATAGGTCTCATGATGGCACATAAGAACTCCAACTTCCAAAGTAATATCTCAAATGGTTAAGTCAACAAGTGGACAAGAATGAAAATCTTAACTGAGTTTCTAAGTCAAAAAGGGCCATAATTCAAATAAAATCCTTAACAGAATTACCTTCTCCTGCCCATGTTTTGGGACCATGATGGTAAACAAGTATTCCAACTTTCAAATTAATATCTCAAACAGTTCAGTCAAAAAGTGGACTGGTACTAAAAACTTAACCAAGATTCTAAGTCGATAAAAGGCCTTAATTTTTAAAACAAATCCTTGACAGAGTTACCTTCTTCTTGCGTACAGATGGGGGTAATGATTGTGAAATAGCATTAAAAGTTTCAAAGCAATATCTCAAAGGGTTAAGGCAATAAGTGGATTTTACCCATATTCAATGTATTTTCTAAGTCAAAAAGGGGCATAATTCTGTCAAAAACCTTGACAGAGTTATGTCCTCTTGTCTGTTGATGAAGGTCGTGATGGTAAACAAGTATGGTCAGTTTCAAAGCAATACCTCCAATGGTTTTGAAATAAAGTGAGGTGGTACAAAAAACTTAACCAAGCTCAATACACTTTCTAAGTCAAAAAAGGGCCATAATTCTGTCAAAAACCTTGACAGAGTTATGTACTCTTGTCTGTAGATGGAGGTTATGATGGTGAACAAGTATGGTAAGTTTCAAAGCCATACTTGTAATACTTCTGAATAAAGTGGGGTGGTACGAAAAACTTAACCAAGGTGTGACGCCAACGCTAACGCCGACGCCGACGCCGACGCCGACGCCGACGCCGACGCCGGGGCGAGTAGGATAGCTCCCCTTTTCATAGAAAAGTCGAGCTAATGAAGGAATACTAAAATCTGACTCCTGGGATTAAACAGTGTCATTTTTATTTGTTTTTCTTTATTTTTTACTGTTATCATGTACCAAAGACTATTTAAAGTCGATAATATGAATAGAAATAAAATTTTGAAAAATTTACAAATACTGTTTTACCATCAAATCGTCACATGTTACTACATATATATGTGAAAATAATACAAACCAATAAGTATCTGTACGGCTTTCTATAAAATAGGTTAAAAAAACACAGCAGTCATACATAAAGAGATTCTAAAGTTAATCTAAATGTTTGTTAGTTTGACATGGACGTTCTTGTTTGACTGTCAAGTACGTAACTATTTCTAAAATACCAAGAAACTATTTCTAAAATACTAATACCAACTTCGCTTTGAGAATTCTGAAGAAAAATATTCTTTGCTACATCGCCTTCAATCAAATCATCCACTAGGTCATTGGCGGCGGCGAGATTCATAAAGTGAACATCCTTTCTGTGTACCGGCAGATACTTCTTAAAAGGAAGCTCGGATACTTACGTGCTAATATTCAAACTGGTAGAGGTGTTAAACATGACTCCTTCATTAACAATTTCTTGACAGCGTATCACATAGGTCTCTGAGTAACTTCCAGATATAATTCCATCACCAGTAGCATCTGTACCTTCTCTTACACTCAACGTAAAGAATATATCTTCACTCTTAAATAAACAAAATGAATGAGTATATATTTATAAGACGTATAACGTGGCTAAATATGTTTATTATCAAACGCACAGCGTGGCCAAATATGTTTATTATCAAACACACAGCGTGGCTAAATATGTTTATTATCAAACGCACAGCGTGGCTTAATATGTTTATTATCAAACGCACAGCGTGGCTTATTATTTTTATTATCAAACACACAGCGTGGCTAAATATGTTTATTATCAAACACACAACGTGGCTAAATATGTTTATTATCAAACGCAAAGCGTGGCTAAATATGTTTATTATCAAACGCACAGCGTGGCTAAATATGTTTATTATCAAACGCACAGCGTGGCTAAATATGTTTATTATCAAACGCACAGCGTGACTAAATATGTTTATTATCAAACACACAGCGTGGCTAAATATGTTTATTATCAAACTTGCCTTTGGACATCCAATAATTGTGAAAACGGTGGCGTCGATTGATTTAGTTACATTACAAACAGTGGTATTAGTCCCTGCAGTTGCCGACTTAAACAACGTAAAGTCAGGGTTCTGTATAATCACGTCGCAGTTTGGCTGGCACTCTAAATTTAGAAAAGACATAAATGTATAAGTATAGATACAACAACAGTGCCAATTAGTCACAAAAATACGAGGGTTGTCATAGAAGTAAAGAGACAAGTTGTTACTTTAGTAATGATTACTGATTAGTAAATTTAAAAAAATATAAATACATGGCTAACGTGTCATATTGTATATTATTCCAAAATTTTCTTAGAAATATATGGAATATTAAAAGATCTACATGCAATCCCTCTAAGTACATGTATGTAGATATATCATTAAAGACAAGTTTTTTATCTGACCTTATGTGTGACTTTGACCTTTGACCTAGACACCTGTTCATTTGTGCAACACTACATATCATGTTGGTGAACATTTCTTTTAAGTAATACTAGAATTATCCTTACCATTTTTAGTTTATATTTATTTATTCTAGTTCGAAGCACTCTCGAATCCGTTCCTGGAACCAACCAGTACTAAACAATGAGTGTAAAATTTGCTGCTCACGGATACAACGGCTTACGGTTTTGAAATCATTCTACTCAAAAAGCAATTTTGAAAAAAACTTCTTAGTTGCAAAAAAAGCATAACTCAAATAATATAGTTTTAAGAAATATGTGCCGTGTCTTACTGATGCTTCTTGTCATGATAAGCTCATAGAAGTATTCCAAGCTTTATGCTGATACACCTTGTCAAAAATATAGCTTCCAGAATAATGTTCCTTGTCTTACAAATGCACCTAACTATGCTTACTTATGTCTGAGTGATAGGCTACGTAAAAGTTTCCTCGGACTAGTAATCTAAGGATCGCTAGCCGCATGGGTTCAAACCCCGTCAGGGACAAGTCGCTGTTACCTTAAGCAAGAAACTTTACACTCATTGCTCAGTACTGGTTGGTTCCAGGAACGGATTCGAAAGTATGTCTATAAGCTTATAGCTTCCTACACAATCGAACTAAAATAAATTCTGTATAACCAAAAGTTTGCACGATGACGTCAGCAACAATAACAACTACGTAAACAACGAAGCAGCGATCATCGATCATAGCTGGAACAGCACGAGCTAAAGTGCTACATGGATTGTTCATGTTTAGAGCTTATGCTTACCTAGATCCAGCGTGAAATGACTCGCTTTCATTATTAGGAATCTGGCCAGGAAAATCGCGAACGTCAGTAAAATTCTGAAATATGAACACGATAATAACTTAAATTACCAGCTTAGATTTAACTACATAACAGTTCATATTGAAGAGGTGGACTAGTGCAGAAAAACATCACCACACCACAGAAATTTAAAATAAAACAATCAAATGTAAAATAATAACTATTTGGTCACTTTACAAATTTGCAAATATATCACGTTAGAAGTCAGCAAGAAGTCATGGTAAAGATTTATTGGCTGATTTCGCAAGTGATCTGCAGACAGTGATAAAAGTTTTAAAAAATTCGTCATTATGTGTACTAGATGCATGCCGGCAATTTATGTTTATATACTATAATACCGTATGATATGTTGAAATGCACGGGGTATATTATAATTTATGTAATTATGCAAATTGACAAAGGTAATGCTTATTTGACATGTCTCCTGCTAGTGCATATATAGACTTCTCATTGATACAGCTGCATTGAGAAAAGAAATCGGCAATACACGAAATGAAAATTTTCGCTTAAGGTGATTCCGCTTTGTCAGCCATGTTTGTTTTCACAAAGTCTGTCCAAAGTGAAAGTAGGCCAAAATTCATATAACAACAAAGCTCACATTGTTATATGATGAGCCATTTGCAATTACACTTCCAGTTCTATGTTTTAAAGACTGTTTTAAACAAAAATAAAAAAATGATAACAATAAGAAAATTTACCTTGAAAGGACTACATTTCTGAAGACCAAAAACATTCTGTTGCAAAGTTTTATGCACATTTCATGCATGGCAAAATCGTTTTTAAAGTCTGTTTTAGTGCCAACAAAAGCTATTTTTTTGCAAAAAAAAATACAAAAATCTTTAAAAAAAAAACATAAATCTTAGGAAAGTAGTTTATCTGACCTTGAAAAAACATGGCCACCATGACATTTGTAAAAAAGTAGTACCATGAAAATAAACATCATTTACCTATTTCTTGTGTACATGACAAACAGACCCACTTCACTGTTACACATAAAAAGGTTAAATTTTTAAAGTTTGATTGTGTTTTCATTTTAATTGTAGTTCATAAGGCTATAAATGATGATTGTTTTCTTGCACTACTTTTTTACAAAAAATAATGGAGGCCATGTGCTTAGAAGGACATGAGATACTGATTTATTTGAAGTTAAGTTTTGAAAGATTTTTGTATTTGCTGCAAAAAATAGCTTTTGTTAGCACTAAAACAGACTTTAACCCTTTCCCACATGAGCATATTGTGAAAAATGGCCGTTTTCAGTGAAAAGCCTCCTGTTACAAGTTCAAACTGCTATGAAACTATGAAAAATGCTTCAATACTAATCAAACTTGGCACAAATGTTGACTGGACCATTGCCTTTGTAAGGACATGCTCAGTCTTAAACTTCCTGTTACCATGGCAACGAGGGGACATCTCAAAATTGCCAAAAATCACTATTTTGCCTTGATTTTTTCCATCAAAAATTATTTCAAAGTGCTGCAACTTCTCAAGGGATTGAGATAGAGTCAAAGCCTTTTCAGCGTTGGTTACACGTTACCTTATGATCGACCTGGGTCATTTTCAGCCTCTCACAAGTCCAAAATTTTCTTGGCGAAGAGGGGGACTCCGCCCCCCCCCTTCAAACCCCCCAAACAGAAGGGGGCACATCCCCCTTCTGGCAACCCCCTGATGTATCTTTTGGAGGGGGGGCGGCGCCGAAAAAGTGCTCACTTTTTTTAGCAACATTTCTCAAACGAAAACATGTGTTTGGGGCCAAAATAGGACATTTTTCAAGCATTTTTCACTATTTCAGGCCTAAAAAGGAGGGGGGGGGTCGAAAGTGCGTTGTTTCGCGTATATATGAGGTAAAGGGTTAAAAAGGATTTTGCCATTCATGAAATGTGCATAAAACTTTGCAACAGAATGTTTTTGGTCTTCAGAAATGTAGCACATTCAAGGTAAATATTCTTATTGTTATCATTTTTGTTTATAATTGTCCATAAAATATAAACCTGGAAGTGTACTTTCAAATGGTTCATCATTTTACAATAAGAGCTTTGTTGTTATATGAATTTTGGCCTACTTTCACTTTGGACAGACTTTAGTGAAAACAAACATGGCTGACAAAGCGGAATCACCTTAAGTATAGGAGAATGGGACCGTAGTTGAGGCGCATGTTTCTGGTTCTGCACTTAATTTACTTAAGGTTTGTCCGATATTTAGATTATAACGTCAAACTTGACCAATTTTAAAACTAACAGACCGTGTTACATTGTAATTATATTTTTTGAGGGCATACACTCGTCTGTTGTGCACGTGCAAAGCAAGAACAGCATTTCTACCGTAATACACTTGTCATTATAAAAAGCGGTTGCATAATCGTCAACGCTAACGAAAATATAATAATAATGTGTAAAAGTATATGGTATATTGCATATCAATGTCTTATAAACCGTTTAATCTAAATACAAATTACAGATTTCACTTTCTGCTGCTATCTAAAAATGCACATGATGTCACTAACATATACAGATATACGTATTTCCTATATAAAAAAACAACAACAAAAAACACGTGTTTAATGGGAAAATAAACATTAAACAATTCATAAATAAGCTATATACAGCAAATTGTTATTACAAATTAACTGGTTTTAGTAGCCATGTCATGTGTATAACAAAACAGCTGAGAGGTGCACACGTACAACAGACCTCGTTTTGGTAAAGGCAATGTGTGGGGATAAACATTTTCTTTCACGAAACACAGACTAGTCCTACAAAGCATTAGAAAAAAGCAAAACAAGAAAAAACTCACCGTGTCCACAACATCATCCTTCTATGTGAATGGTAATCAATGTAGTGCAGTTCATTTCATGTATCGTATTTCTGCACGGAATTCACGTGCGTATAATTTTAGTACATGAGGTAACCCGCTTCCGAGAAACGTGAGATATTTTTTTTCACTAAAATTGTTAAAAATACTAGTAGCTATCTGTATACAATGCACTAAGTGTTGAGCTATATAACTTTTTTTTTAGAAAATGCCATTATATGAGCTCTATTTAAAAGTTTTAGCATATAAACAAACATTTCGTCTGCTCATATTTCATCTGGTTGACTATATTCACGAACACAGTGACACGTGTAAGTAAAGTCACCTATATACTACTAGTACATCTGCATATAGATCATTGTGTTGCACCTGGGGTGGGCCAATGAACTATAAATTTATTTTATATCTAAGGGTGCCCAGTTGTTTATTTGCAAAAAAAAATGAAATTTCAGAAAAGCCATTTACTTTCATTGGCGTCTATTGAATCAATTTAAACGAATTGACACCGACTGTGATGTACATCTACTTTCGTTTCATCTTGTGACGTAACGATCGGACTATTTCTACGATGAAGATTTTACCTGGACACCGCCTGTCAAAATTTCGGCGCCATGTTGTTTTGATTACAATTTTTACGGAAACAGGTGTGATTATTTTGCTTTTTCAACTTAAATCGATGTTATTGTTTAATCACTACCACTGTATATGTATGTATTGATCTTATAAGAAATGACGAAATGTAGTTTTGTGATCCATTTAATTTCAAAAGGGGGTTAAGTGCTAAAAATTTGTAAACAACAGGTGATGTGGTAAAGTAAATTTATAAAATTTACTAAATTGCCTGTTGAATTACTGAATTTTACGTGGCATGGTAAAATTGTAGACAAAGGAATATACTTATACAATTTTCGCGGTTACATGATGGGTAAATCAAAGTACAGCCTATTATAAGGTGAAATTTTAAGATACAGTACTGTGAATGTATAATTAATTATTCTTAATATTTCCTTGTTCCTCATTATTGGTTTAAGTTTAAACTGATAAGTAAGCAGACAATTTATATGTAAAATATTCTTTCAAGATAATGTCTTATATAATATGAAAGTATAGGCAGAGCCTATGAAAGGGGAAGTCAGATAAAAAAAAATGTTCATTTTCTTTCTACATTTTTTTTAAAGGTGTCATTTGGTAATTCATGCACCTCTCCAGTTTTCAATAGAACTTTTTGATGATTATTCTTAATCTGAAAATTTGCGACTGTTATAGAAATCTGCAGTGTGGCGAAGTGGTTAACACGTCAGACTAAGTAATCTAAGAATTGCTGGCCGTTGGTTATAGGCAAGCCCTTAGATTGTTTTCTTGGGCAAGAAACATTACAGTCTTTGTAATAGTACTGGTTGGTTCCAGGAACAAATTTTGAGATGTTTCAATAACCTTACAGCTTCCAACACAATCAATCTAAAAAATATTTGTATAACATAACTTAGTACCTTCATCTTAAGACAGGCATTGCATGTCACGATCTGATATACCATTAAAATGTCAAATGTGAGTATTACAATTATATCTCTGTGTAAATGCATAAATGATCCTGGCAAATATTTTTCAAATCTATATTTTATGTTGTTTTATCTACAGATCTGTTTTGCAAGAAGCTATGGAGACTGGAAGTGTTTCCTCCATTCCATCATCAAGTATTTCAAACTCTAGTGCTAGGAGTACCCCTATACCTAGTACCTACAAACCTATTACCCCAAGTGCATCTTTCTTGGCCCTTACCAAATCTCCAGATGAAGACTTGAGACGTAGAAGTCCAGATGAACTCCTTCAAATTATTCGAAGACTTGAAGTCGAAAACAGAAATGTTATTGCAGAGCATTCAAATATTGTCAAAGATGTGAACAAAAAGATGCAAATTCTATTGTTAGAAGTACGTGGAATGAAAGATATCAATCAAAACCTACAAGATGATAATCAGGAGTTACGGGACTTGTGCTGTTTCCTTGACGATGATCGACAGCGTGGAAGGAAACTTGCCAGAGAGTGGCAAAGATTTGGTCGCTACACAGCAAGTGTTATGAGAAGTGAAGTTTCGGCATACCAAGAAAAGTTGAAAGAGTTGGAGACAAAACAACAGGAATTGATATCTGACAATTTAGATCTGAAAGAGCTATGTCTGTATTTGGATCAAGAACGACTGAGGGCAAGCCAGCCTCGGGACGAGGGGGACGGAAGCAGCAGTAGCACTGTGGCAGGCAACGAGGATCAGAATGATATAGAACTGGTGCCTGTTAGTCAACTTCAAAACAATAATACAATAGCAGACACTGAATCAGGTAAAATAGATATTTTTTTTGTTGTTTAGTACATGCACCTTCCAAGTTTGTTGCTTGAATAAATTCACAAACATTATTGATAGCAGCTGAGTAAATTTAACATTGTATACTTCTGGGGAGGGATATGTTCCTGGTCACAAACTGCTTTTAGTCTTGTTAATTTATCATAATTTATATGTACCATAATAAACTATAACATGAAATAATAAATAATTATAAACTGTTTCATCTGCTCTAAATAATTAATGTCAAATATCTTCAAGATTGGAAATAATTAATACACTAAATGTATTATTTTATGCAAAATAAAGCATAAAATTACTCAAACTAAATCTTAATATATCACTTATGCAATCCATAAGGATTAATATTTTAATAACTTGTTAAACAGACTGTGTGACAATAGAATATGTTAAACAATAATGTATAAGTAAATATTTTATTTTTTCAGCAACCAATGATTACATACGCCAACTAGAGGACAAAGTTAGGCATCTGGAGAAAGAAAAGAAGAAAGCATCTAAGGTAAGAGTTGGAAATTTGACCAACAAACATGTTTTTCAAATTTAGGAAAGTGTAAAGTGGAATCTCTTTTTTCAAGTTTGGGTAAGATATCTTCCTGCTAAATATTAATTAAATTTTTAACTGGTAGCAGTTTTTAGCCATTCAAAAGTTCAATCTTATAATAGATTATAGTAGCTGTATTTAAAGAATAATTTAGATGACACTTTATTTGCTTCATTTTAATATATGGTGATATAATTGAGATTATTAATTAGGTGTTAATTAATTAAGTTATTAATTACTGTTATTATTATAAACTAGGATTAATTAGGCAGACTGTAATACTGATAACTGTAAATCATTTGTATCATTTGTTGATAGAGTGCATATAAGATAATATCACTGAAACTGTGCTAGTTGTCATTGTTTATTGTACAGAAAAAGAAAAAAATCATTTTGTATTTCTTAAAAGCTGACATGTAGAAGAAGTGATATTAATATGTCAAACACTTTATCATGATGTTTTAATTCATTTTCAGCAGTCTGGTAGAAGCATCGACATCCAAAGTAAAGATGCACCTCATGCTCAGGTAACTGCTTCTTTTAATATCGATAGGCCAGACTTTATTTCAAGATGTGTCATTGTTGCTTAAACCCATTGAACCAAAAATAAATAAAGACTCAGTTATACTAACTTTTGTAAACTCTGAATACAATACATGTACATTGTTTTTATGATGCATATTAGGATGTCAATGCATTTGATTGCAAACTAACAATGTTAATATATTATAAATAGGTTACTGGTACCCAGCGTGTTGGTCCAGATGGTACTCAAGCTGTTGATGGTCAGGGAACCAGCCCTCATAAACCAGAGGCTGTGGTACATGCCATGAAGGTGAATTAGTATTAATATTTTCTCTACAGTTGTAATGCCTGAGTCTGCAGGGCAAGAGGTTTAATAAGTTAATATGAGCCGTGTCACGACAAAACCAACATAATGGGTTTGTGACCAGCATGGATCCAGACCAGCCTGCGCATCCGGGCAGTCTGATCAGGATCCATGCTGTTCGCTATCAGTTTCTCTACTTGATATCGAGTTTGTAAGCGAACAGCATGGATCCTGATCAGACTGCGCTGATGCGCAGGCTGGTCTGGATCCATGCTGGTCGCAAACCCATTATGTTGGTTTTGTCGTGTCGCGGCTCATATGTGTCTTAATCAGAATACCTGTTTTGTTTTTCTGTATTTCATATAGAGAAACCATTGTTTGTGCCATGGTTTCCATATGCTAGTGTGATGTCATTTGACACTTTTTGATTACTTTTATAAAACTAGTGGTTCTGTCACTGCGTTAAGTTGTTTATAAATTGCACCATGCAGCAAGATTATTTTTTGGAAAACACAGTCATGAAAATCTATTCATTTCCTCTTGGTCAGTGTATACCTGCTTGTGTAGATTTTAGCTGGACTATTTAGAGATCAGGGAGAGCTATTGTATTTGCCCAGTTGTCAGCGTCACACTTTGGTGAAGTTTTTGTGCAATTTAGAATTTCCAAAATACTGAAGGGAATGGGTTGAAATTTCTCACACTTATTTGAAAGCACAATGGAGGTCATTGTTAAGGCCTATAATTTTAACATTGACTTTGTCAGATATATGGCCCTTTTGAACTTAGAAAATTCTACATTATTCTACATTAAACAGGCTCTTGTTGTACTTTAAAGCATGACAAGAGTCAAGCACAGTGTCCTACCAACAGTTATTGTTTTGCAAGAATACATGTATTTGATTATTGTCTTTTGTATAGAGTTTATACATGTTACATTGTTCCTTGTAGGTGTTAGAAGTACATGAGAATTTAGAGAGACCAAATACTGCAGTAGGAGAGGAGAATACACTGGATGATAAGGAGAAGGCTATTGTTAGAGAAATGTGTAATGTAAGTATTCTGGTTACTTGTTATAGTCATCGGTACATTAGTTCATATGTCATTGGTTTCTCATATCCATTTAAAAAGCGAAATTGTAATTGTTAGATCAGATATTGAAAATTCCACTCATCAACTGGTAGTCACAAGTAGAATTTGCTGCACTGCAAGTGAAAAAAGGTAGCCTACTTGATTTTCAGATTTCCCTCTGTAAGGAAAATATATGAAATTGGTCATTCCAGCATTCTTTAACTTTCCTTTCAAATGATTATTGTGTACTTTCATCATTTATTTTATAAATAAAGATGTTAACAAACAACTTAAAGAAGCAAAGTTTGTCCTTAAAATCAGACATAACATGTAGGACAAATAGTGTAACATAGATTACAGGATAAGTAGCTCTGAAAATTATTTGTTATCCCTGTAAATCTTGCAATAATTTTGATTATTAAACTTATGAATTCCCCTGTGGCAGCCATGAGAACTGCACAAATCTGAGAATCACAGAGAAAGAGACATACCTTACAGTAACTGATATTTGTTCAAAGCATTACAATTCATATCAATACATTATTCAGAGTCACCACAAATTAAGTAACCATAGTTTGAACTTTTGATTGGACATGAAAATTTCAAATTTTGCTGTTCCTTAACATTTAATTGTGCTTTATATTTGTGTACTCATGACAGAGTATAGGCAAACTGTAAAAATCTGTCTCGATTATTATTATTACTGTATAATATTTCAGCTAAATGTCAATCACACAATAACATGATAATTGAATTGAGATATGGTTTTTGTATACTATGCTGATGCATTATTTTACGGTATTCTGCAAATGAAAATGAAAAAATTTGAGGGAATGGGTAAATATATAAAAACAGTATATAGATATTTAATATTTAGGTCTTTATGATTATTTTCTGAAAATAAAGATTCATAAAGTATTCCTGAGAGCAAGTTCATATTTTGACTGAAAATGTTTAATATGGTATATTAATCAGGGATACAGGCTGCTGGCTATGTGCCAGAGTGACCTTTATGTTCGTTTTCATTTGAAATTCCAAAAGTGGTCAATTTGAAAGGATAGAGTTTTTACAGTGCAGCAGCTATAGTCTGGCAAATACTGTACTGATCTATATTCTTTAGTCAGTATCAAGAAATGAAACAAGATTCATTCACCTGCATGTCTTACAATGTCATATTTGATTACAGGTTGTATGGAGGAAGTTGGGTAATGTGAAAGCTGAACAACAGCAGCATGATGTCCAGAACATTAATCAGCCACCTGTATATGAGAACCTGCAGCCAGTACGCAGCAAGAGCACACCGCCTGAGAACGTTGACAAGAGTCCTACCGGACAACAAGGCAGAGATATGTACTACACTGCCCCAGAGCCAGGTCTAAGGTCAAGCACGGAACTGTTAGGGCCAGCTCCAGGTCAACCACCAACAGCTTATGTACAGAGAACAGATAACAGTAGAGGTCATACAGTGTTTCAGGTCACTCCCTCTTATCCTCCTGGCCAAGAAATCCGGAGACAAGATGAGTATTCTGGACCCTATCCAGGTCCGCAAACATCTCAGTCCCAGAGGCCTCCCCCTAACTCAAATTCTCAAGGTCAACCACCACCAAATCCTCATTATTCAGGTCAGCAAGGTCGTTACGGTCATGTACAAACATCAAGGTCAACACCAGTCACCCCTACACCGCAACAACAAAGCCAGCATCCTAACATAACGCAAAAAATGGATCCAAGGAGTCATTCTCCAGGTCCTGTTAGGAGGTCAATGACACCTAAGGCTGCTGATATGCAGCGCAGCCATTCACCAGGTCCAAGGCCAAGGTCCCAGTATTCAAGATCTGACTCGCAACCAACAACCAGTTATAATGGGCCAGTTTATCAGAATCACCCTGCACCAAGCAACATGGGAGATAACTCCTATGAGAATGTTCCATCTGGTTACTACTATAACAATCAGTCATCACAAAACTATGCATCAAATCATAATCGTTCTCAAGATTCTGTCAGTTCCAACTATGATTATCCAGCCCCTCCCAATCAAGCTTATTCCCAAAACCCATACCCAGATAACAGTATGCATCCTTCGAACAAAACTCAACGATCATCAAATACATATCAGGCCACACCCTCACAAAATCAGCGCCAGCCTCCATCAAACCAATCACCACCTTATTATCAGAATGTATCGGCGAGGAATAATACGCCAGCAAAAACAAATGTAAGGGACCATTCACCACAAGGGGCACGTTATCCTCAACAAAATGCCCCACTACCTCAAGGCCAGTATCAATCGCATAGAAACGCCCCATCTTCTAACCTGTCATATAGTCACCCATCTTACCCACCTTCCTCTCAGCCCCACCCAACATACTCTCCAGCCTCCACCCCATCTGGTTACAACACGCAGCCTCCAGCGTACAGTGCCCCTCCCCAGTACCAAGATCGTCGTTCGAGCTATATTGATGCACGAGACAGCAACATACCTTACCCGGACAGAAGAAACGTTAATGATTATTATAAGAAATGAATTACTTGAACTGCACATCTACTACACCATTTTTTTTCCGGAAAAATTAGCAAAGATAATATCATTTGTGTTCATTGACTTATCAGTTCAAAGTTTATTGTGATTTGCAATGACATGAACAATAGGGCTTTTCTACAAAGGGTATATAAAATACATTTATTGAACTTTTTGACACTTATTGTAAGCTTTAAGTTAAAGATAGCACAATCTCTCTCATACATTTGATATGATGCCATTGTTTTGATTGGCAATATTTGACAAATGGCATTTTTTAATAGTATCTGATCATAATTTGTGCATGTTGTTTTTTTTTTGCGATGGTTACTTTTAACTCCTCCCATTTAAATCAGAGAATACTTTTTTGTGTCATTGAATTTAGATAATTTGATATGAGCAGCTTATGTTTTATACATTAAAAGTAAAAACTGTAATTTATTGCAGCTAAATGTATGTATCTTAATTAATAGTACTTAGTACTGAAATTTCGGAGTAAGACTTTCGGGTATTTATGGTATATCCGCACTAAAACTACATTTTAGATAATCATGAAGTAATTGTTCTAAAGATGTAATATCTTTTAACATATGATTGTGACAGATTGTCTAATCAGGTATAATAACTGATATAATATTTTATGAAATATTTGTCTGTCATATGGTGAACAACAGTATTGTTAACATTTCAACTTATTTTTGAGAGTATTTGTTGAATATAAATGGCAGTTATTGGGTATTTAAGAACGTGCAGTTTGTTTGGAAGGCATGACTATAAAACTGATGTGAAAATTATGCCAAAATAAAGGAAACTTATTAAGGTATTGTATATGTGACCTAGTGGAGATTTATAGTTGTTGATTTGTAATCACAATTATCACCAGATGATTATAGATAATATTTTTGTTTGGGATATTGTTCTACATAACATCACTTAGCTATTTTGAATAAAATGTTGTTTACAGAAAATTATGTTTTATATAAACAATATTTTTGTCTGGGATATTGTTCATAAATCACTTAGCTTTTGTTCATTTCGGAGTTTAAATAATGTTGTTAAATCACATAAATTTTTAAAAAAAGCATTTAGCAACAATTTTCGAATGATAAAAAAAAAATTGAATCTGGTAAATATTTTGACCTCATTTTCGGGGGGAAAAAAAGCTTTTTTCTGCAATTAGGAAGAGGTCCATTTACCAGACTTGCCTAAAGAAAGCCTGGGGAAAAAAATACTGACCATACATTTGTAATTGAATTATAAGAGTGATCCACTGACTTTGTGAATGGGATAGTAATATTCAGTTACTTTTAAGGTGCTCTATTTATTTGACAGGAACTTTAATTCTTTTGTGATCTGAATAAAGTGTTTATTTCAGAATATGACAAAATAAAAATAAACTGTGCTTGCATTTACCGTGTTACAGGACTATATGAAAAATATATAATATGTTAAATTATGAATAATTTAGAGTTATTTTATTGATAAAATGAATTATTGTCTTTGGTGATTACCTTGATCAAATTTCATTTATTCATTAAAAATTATTTATTATTTAGATTGTTTATGGTTCACATAATGATCTCAAATCATCATCATGTATATACAACGAATTTTTATATTCTCTTCATAAAATAAAAAAAAATGCAAAAATGATATATAAAACTGAAATCTCTCTATTTATCTGTTTAGTTATTATATTTTGTACATCATTTAAATGATCAAACTTTGATTTGATTATTTTATTTTTTTAAAAAGATTTATTTTCAGAACATAATATCGAATATAAATTTATGTACATGTATAAGGATGAAAAAAAAGAGAAAACCTGAGTGTTTAGAAACATATTGAAATATCAAACAGAACTACAATTGAGCCGTAGCATGACAAAACCAACATCCGCGCAGTCTGATCAGGATCCATGCTGTTCGCTATCAGTTTCTCTACTTGTAATAGGGTTTGTAAGCAAACAGCATGGATCCTAATCAGACTGCGCCGATGGATCCATGCTGGCCGCAAACGCACTATGTTGGGTTTGTCATGGCGCGGCTCAATTATTATTTTACAATTTATTGTCATTCTGTTCTTTTCGTAACTCTACACAAATAGAGCAATAGAAAATACAGTACAAGTTATCACTAGAATGTATTATTGTGCCATAAAGAATACATGTTGAAAATGTTTAGATAATCATTACTGTTATTGAATATTTGCACATATTAATGAATGTGTTGTGAAATGTGTATTTTTTTATATATTTTTATACCCCCAAAAACGAAGTTTGGGGGGGTATATAGGAGTCACCCGGTGGTCGGTCGGTCGGTCGGTTGGTCGGTCGGGCGGTCGGTCGGTCGGTCGGTCCAGACGTCCGTTGCATTTTCCTTGTCCGGAGCATAACTTTAAGACTAATGCTTGGAATTCAATATAACTACACACAATGGTCAAGCACATTGAGAGGAAGTGCAGTGCACAAGAACCATAACTCTATCTTGATTAATTACAGAGTTATTGCCCTTTGTTACTTTTCCTTGTCCGGGGCATAACTTGAAAACTACTGGTTGGAATTCAAAACAACTTCACACAATTGTCAAACACAATAAGGGGAAGTGCAGTGCACAAGAACCATAACTCTATCTAAAGTAATTACAGAGTTATTGCCCTTTGTTGCTTTTCCATTGCTTTTTTTTTTGTCCGTTGCATTTACCTTGTCCGGAGCATAACTTGAAGACTAATGGTTGGAATTCAATATAACTACATACAATGGTCAAGCACATTGAGAGGAAGTGCAGTGCACAAGAAACATAACTCTATCTTGACTAATTACAGAGTTATTGCCCTTTGTTACTTTTCCTTGTCCGGGGCATAACTTGAAAACTACTGGTTGGAATTCAAAACAATTTCACACAATTGTCAAACACAATAAGGGGAAGTGCAGTGCACAAGAACCATAACTCTATTTAAAGTAATTACAGAGTTATTGCCCTTTGTTACTTTTCATTGCTTTTTTTTGTCCGGACCATAACTTGAAGACTAATAGTTGGAATTCAATATAACTACATACAATGGTCAAGCACATTGAGAGGAAGTGCAGTGCACAAGAAACATAACTCTATCTTGACTAATTACAGAGTTATTGCCCTTTGTTACTTTTCCTTGTCCGGGGCATAACTTGAAAACTACTGGTTGGAATTCAAAACAACTTCATTCAATTGTCAAACACAATAAGGGGAAGTGCAGTGCACAAGAACCATAACTCCATCTTGACTAATTACAGAGTTATTGCCCTTTGTTACTTTTCCATTGCTTTTTTGTCCGGAGCATAACTTGAAGACTAATGGTTGGAATTCAATATAACTTCATACAATGGTCAAGCACATTGAGAGGAAGTGCAGTGCACAAGAACCATAACTCCATCTTGACTAATTACAGAGTTACTGCCCTTTGTTAATTTTCCTTGTCCAGAGCATGACTTGAAAACTACTGGTTGGAATTCAAAACAACTTCATACAATGGTCAAGCACAATAAGGGGAAGTGCAGTGCACAAGAACCATAACTCCATCTTGACTAATTACAGAGTTATTGCCCTTTGTTACTTTTCCATTGCTTTTTGTCCAGAGCATAACTTGAAGACTAATGGTTGGAATTCAATATAACTTCATACAATGGTCAAGCACATTGAGAGGAAGTGCAGTGCACAAGAACCATAACTCCATCTTGACTAATTACAGAGTTATTGCCCTTTGTTACTTTTCCTTGTCCAGAGCATAACTTGAAAACTACTGTTTGGAATTCAGTACAACTTCATACAGTCGTCAAGGACATTAAAAGGAAGTACAGTGCACAAGAGCCATAACTCCATTTTGACAAAATACAGAGTTACTGCCCTTCGATACTTTTCCTTGTCCTGAGCATAACTTAAAACGTACTGGTTGGAATTCAAAACAACTTCATACAATGTTCAAGCACAATAAGAGGAAGTGCAGTGCACAAGAACTATAACTCTATCTTCAGTTTTTATAGAGATTTTGCCCTTTGTTCCTTTTCTTTGTCTTTCTGGACTTATTACAGAGTAATTCAATTAAACTTCTTCAATGGCCAACCACATTGAAAGGAAATGCAACATACAAGAACCACAACTATCTTTAATTGCCAACAACCATAACTCTATATTTCTATTCTTTTACAAGGTATTCTGTTACTAGTAACATCCTCATTTCCGAAGCAGTCTTGTGGGGGTATTAATCACATTTAGTGATAGTTCTAGTTTTCTTAGTAAAAAGTGCTACAGATTGATCATGTTTCTTTACCAATTTTTCTGTCAGATGCTACTGGTATTGTTAATAAGCTAAAATACGGAGGGTCTGGGGTTCCACCTTAGTTTTGCACACCTGCCTTAAATTAACCACAAATGGGTACATTAGGCCCTTCTTCACTAGTAAAGCTGGAATGACACCATATGACCTTTACAGTATTGAAGTGTCTGAAAAGCTAACAAGAAAAATATATACATGTATTGTGAAAATGAATTATTTTAATGCATTTTTAAAATTTGAATTTTACTCCACATGCATTTCTGATTATTATTTATTAAAGCATTTCTGATTTAAGATATATATGAATGAAGAAAATTTATAGACATTGCATTTAAGATATTTTTTTCAAAAATATACAGATATATAGATCAATGTATATGTTTTATGTGCCGTCAAAACGGTTTTTCTATAGAGTCAGCACTGTTTCTTTGTTTAAAAAAAATGAGTGAAATATTGTATAAAATTGTTGTAGATAAATAGTCATTACTAAATGCATTTAGATTGTATTTTATGTTGTTATGTTGATAAGAAGTTGTTAAAATATACACATGGTGCAGCAACATTGTCCGTTTTAGATATAACATGTTTATTGTACATTTTTAACATAGATATGTCTGTTACATATCTGTATGTGAATAGTCTAAGATGTTTTTCTTAAATATATGTTTATGGTGCACTGAAAAGATGATTTTTGTTGTTTTATTGTTTACAATACTAATATGTTTTGGTATATGAAACATTGTGTTGATCTTGATGAGTCTTTTTTTTAATTGAGACTATTTGTTTTAAGCAAAACAATATAACTTTTTCAAAATTAAGTCAAAGTAGGGATGTCAAGGTCATTATCAAGAAAAGTGAAGGTCACATAAATGAAACATTCTTTTATCATGATAACTTTTTATGTATATAAAAGTGATAATTGTACTTGTTGCAATGTCACTTTTACAAAATTAGGTCAAATTAGGGATATCTAGGTCAAGGTCATGATTCATTTTAGTGAAGGTCACAAATCAGTGCAGCTGTACAAAATTTATGTAAGATTAGGAGTTTATAGGTCAAGGTCATGATTCAGTGCAACTGAAACAGAATCACTACTACATAATTTAATCAAGAAAAGAAGTATATCTGGGTCAAGAATCAATACAGTGAAAGTTACTAACCAGTGCAGATGAACCAATGCATTTTTTTAAAAAATTTAGATAGGATTATGGATATCAAGGTCAAAGTCATAAGTCAGTCAATAACCAGATAATTTGGTCTTAGATTTAATAAAACTGAACATTTTTGGTTTATATAGTTTTTCCTTTTTGATAATTAGATTTTGAATGCCAAAATTGCCAAAACAACATCAAACGAACAATCGTTACATTAATACATATACATTCTTTATTTGATTATATTGTAGAAAATTTACACTTGCACACATTAAAACTAATGCACCTTTATATCTACAGTAATAGTAATTCTGTTATAACAGGCCTGTTTCACTATGCAATATTTTGTTGTTCAAAATAAAGTCATTGTTATTAAATTAAACCATTTGCATTTAAGATATTTAAATATTTAACATTTGACAACCTTAAATATCTTTGAATTTGTTCAATTTTTTTAAGCAGATTTTGTTGTTAGCACTTAGGGTCATTCTTTTTTATGCTCAGTTACCACTTCTGAATTTGTCATTCATTTCTGTTGATGTTTGCTTAAATGATAAGATAGGAGCATCCGTGGCCGAGTGATTAAGGTCGTTGACTTCAAACCAC